GTGGCACGGCACAAAAAGCATTAGCAGCAGTAAAATTTTTTAAATCGGTGCTCACAACGTTAAAACGAACCTTGCTGAATCGGAAGCACGCTCTAGTGCCAGCATTACGTCCATGTTGCTCGCAAGTTTCCCACTTCCACCCGATAAATTCATTCGTCTACGTTGCATCAGCTAAAAGTAACCAGATTCTGAAATACTTTGTGATTGCATGCAATTTTTCTCGGGAAAATACGATTTTCTTGAATAGAAAGTTATAATAATAAAGGATGAAATGAACAGAAAAAAAAAGAAAAGAAGGTAATGAAAATTAGAAAATTTGTAAAATTATGAATAATGGTAAGAAGTCGTATACATTTCATCAAGTCGTATTTCTTTAGGTCCATTAAGTCGTATACATTTCTTACCATTACCACAATTGGATTTCGTCAGTACGATGACTGTGATAATTGAAGCTAATGAAAGTTAGGGTTAAATTAATAAAACTTAGCGTTAAATTAATAAAAATGAGGGACAGTAAGGTACCCAAAAAATCGGTGGCACTATGAACGTAGTTCTTCCTGCGATAACTAAAAACGACAGTATGCAAAAGCCTCGAGGAAACCCCTTTTAAATCTAATTTCAGTCTATTCTCTGCCTGAAGGTGTAGTAATTAGCATCACACAATTGAATAAAAGATGGTGCAGTTTATATTGCTCTGTGAAGCAATGCCACTGCATTCCATGATAATCCTGCGAGTGTTTCTTCTATGCGCGGACCAATCTTCTAGTCGATATTTCTATTGAAATACATCTCCCAACGAAGCCAAACGAAATCCGATCTGGGATTTTTCAAAAAAAAAAAAACAAGGAACGCGACTGAAAATCCCTTTAAATAAAGGTATCATTTCTTAAGTGCCAGTTACGCAACGCAAAGAAATCGCGCAAACGATCTATGTACAATCGGCACAAATTGCGAGAAAGGGGTTGCCCCGACCTCATATCAGTTTATGTAGCACCAATGCAAAACTGCAGTTTTAATTTAAATAAATGCCAGTGATAGTGGAAATAGTAATATAGTAATAATAATAGCAATAGTAATAATGATAACGATAACAATAGTAATGACTACAATAATAATGATAATAATAATGTTCATGATAACGATAGCAATAATAATAACAGTAAAAATAATAATAATGGTAATAATAATAATAATGGTGATAATAATAATAATAATAACAAAAATAAAAACAGAAAAATAAAAACAATATAACAATAATTAAGGTTGCGATGTAATGGTAGC